CTGTGAACTCCTATTTGTGGAGGTAAGTTAGTGGGAAAATAGTTCTGCAGATGATTTGGTCTTCATCTCCTAACATTCCTCACCATTGGCCATGCTGGCTGGGCCTTCCAGGGGTGGAAGTTCAAAACATCTATTTTCTGTCCACCCTGAATATAGTATGTTGTAGATACTTCAATATACTTGGGGTAATCCTTGAATAGGATCACATCATAAGGTTACTAAGTATAGTTGTACTGAAGCCATCAAGAGAGTTAATGTAAATAGGTGAACAGCTTGGCATAACATATTCTAGATCTCACATTACACCCATCATGCAAGTTTACATGTGGGACTAAACAACATTGAAAATACAGATCCTTAGCTTAAAGTCAAGGTATACCAAAAGGAAGTTGCACTTCACACTGACTGAAGGGACAAGCAACTTATCAAGCCTTTGATACAAAATGGAGACATTGCTTTGATTAATCCAGTTGAGTTTAGACAGCAATTATGTATGCATGTTGAATCATATAAGCACAGATCATATTTCACATGAATAAGCCACATATTTGTCTTAGTATGCATACATTTTACCTTTCTATTCATATAAAACACTTAAATGCTTCCATATACAGTCAGCCCTCCACATTCACAGGGGTTGTGTGTGCAGGACCCCCATAAAAGTGGAAAAACTGTGAATATCTCTAGACTCCGTCTCCCAATGTTAACTCTTAATACTGTTGACTATACAAGTACAAGATTCCTTCTCCCCCTCTCTCTCAGACCTTGGTCTGATCCAGCAGGGCTCCTCTTCTTTATTTATTACATTCTTAAGCTCTTATTCCCCGTGCTCCGTTTCACTCACCAGTGTCTCCTCTTTGCACCAAGGAAATGCTGGAAAGATTCCCCTCTTTGGGTAGCTGGGCAGGCATGCTTTGGAGACCTTCCTTCTCTGTCCTTTCATTTCCTTTCTCCTGCGCTCATTCTTTCATGATGATGATTTTCCACAGTTGGCAATAAAACTCCAAAATTTCCTATGTTCATTATTATGAACCATTTAACACAAATTTTTAAATTAATAGCATTTATGGCTGTTTGTAAGTACAAATGTTTGTAACTTGGACATTCATAACCCAGGAATTGCCTGTGAATACACCTGTGTAATGGTTTTCAGTTATACGAAGTATGTCCAGAAAGTAATGAGAATGAAGTCCCTACACTTAAGAAGGGCTCTGTGAAGGGAGAAGCTGGCCAAGGTCACTTGGGCTGGGGTGCCAGGTATTCGTAAGAACACTGATTAGTTGCATTCCAGCTCTGTCAGGGTCAAGACATTCTTTTTTGAGACATCCTCTTCAAGTGCCTCGTATTAAGAAAAATGCAAGTGAGTTTGGAACAGTGGTACATGATAAATTTTGGTGTGAAATTGGGTAAAAGTGCATCAGGAAGTTGCACTTTTGGAACTGGTGAGGAAAGTTTGGAAATGGTGAGGAAAGCTTTTGGAGAAACTGCACTGTCATCTGTACAAGTGTACCAATGGCACAAGTTGAAATCGGTTCAACTTGGATTCTTAATCACGACAACACACTGAGTCACAGTGCTTTGGTTGTCAGAGAGTGTTTGGCTGAAAAACACATCACAGCGCTTCTCCATCCACCGTACAGCTCCAGCTTATATCTTTACAACTTTTTCATATCCCTAAAGATGAAGAATGGTGTGAAAGGACACCATTTTGGTAGTGTGGATAACGTCCAAAGAGCCACTACGCAGGCTCTGAATGTCATCCCACTGGAAGACTTCCAGGGATGCTATGAAGGATGGAAAAATCACTGGGACCGTAGTGTACGCTCACAAGGTGCATGCTTTGACAGAGACAATGTGCAATTGTAATTTTTTTCAATAAAATAATTTTTAAAATATCATTACTTTCTGGACACACCTCTTATATATATAGATAGGGAACTAGGAAGTAGAAAAAAAGAGAGTAGAGGAGGCAGGGAAATTATGGTCGCTAAATAAGGACATTAGGCTGTTGGGAGCTTAAACTAATAATGTGAACTCTGAATGTAAATGACGCCATGGATGGACAATGTGAGGGTTAAAATGGAGAGCTGGTATCATAGAATCTTAGTATCATAGAATAGTAGAGATGGAAGGGGCTAGGAGGCCATCAAGTCCAACCTCCTGCTCAGTGCTGAACACGAAGTTGGACCATCCCTCTCAGATGGCTGTTCAGTTGCTTATAAATTGGGAAAAATCAGGAAGAAAGAAGAATGAAACAAAAATACTTTAGAATGTGCTTGGGAAACTTGCTTAGTTATCAGACAGGCATTTGCCAGATTTAGAGTGTTATGCTTTTAATACTAGCAAGGGTTGCTCCTAGCTATTTAATTAAGTTAGACATCAGGAAATATAACTGACAGGATTTTTTGCCCTGGTGGATTAGTTTCCAGAATCAGGGTTAGTTTGACTATAGCCTGAGTTCTGCCACAGAGAGAACTCTGTCATATTTATACTTCAGACAAGCCTCTTTTAGATAGTGGGATAAAAAGCAGAGCCTCGGAAGTTAACTGTAACTTACAGGTAGGCTCACATAAGAAAAGACAGTCTTTCAGATATCTTAATTCAAAATCTTTTGGTGCTTCATAGCTAAGAAGCCCTGGGTATTGGGAACAGAAATTAATTGGAAACCACTGTAATTGATATAAAACAGGTATGATATGATCTGAAATGTGTGTTGCAAAGAGTTTTCTGGCAGCTTCATTTTGCAGCAGCTGCAGTTTTGAAACACACTACAATGGGAGCCCCACATAGTGTGTGTTTCAGTCATCTAATATGAACATGACCCACCACAGGTTTTTTACAGTAGATTTTTGTTTATTTCAGTTGTTACAAGTGTAAACAATATTGAGGCCACCTGTTTGGGAGGCTGTGTAGAAATCTGACAGCATAAATGATAATGATTGCCGATAGTCTGATGTAAAGTTCATAGCTTTGCTGATAAACTATATGGGAAGTATGGAAGAGTGATTTATTTTGGAGGGGTCCAAACTGCCAGCTTAAGTAGAGCCTTCATTTGCTAGCTTGCTTGATAGTTTTCCTGCTGAAAGATACACTTAGAGCCAATTTTCAGCTTACCTACAGTTGTCTTCAGCGCTTGGTGACAGGAATAGACATCTGAGCCTGTTACCATAGTAACACCGGAGTATAGCAAAAGATTTATCTACAGTATTGCCATTTGGATATACTGTTACTCCCATTTTTGTGTACAGACAAGATTCAGACCCACCTTTTAAAGATTAAAATATATAGAACTGATCTGACTGTGGAAACATTTTGAAAAACGTGCTATAAAAGTGTATGTTATATGGCATCATACATTTTGTTTAAAAATTAAGGCTGGTTGTTTCCAGTGTTGTGTAAAAATAAGAAAACTGTATCTGATTTGTAATTAGTGGTTTGCTGGGAAGAATAATTAGACATTTTTTCATGTAATTCTTGTTTATGGGATTTTCTGAATGGGTGAACACATCAGTGAATTGATTGCTTTTCATAAAACTAAATTTTGTTGTCAATTTCAGTTTTCGTACATGCACTATTCATAAGGTGCTCCTACTGGGATATTCTACTTATATTTTCCTTCTTTAAGAACTTCACTTTTCAGGCAGAAAATGGTGGACTAGGCAGCTGGGTTGCAATGATCTCAACTGTGAGAGGAGACTGTTTCTTAGTCTGCTCTAACTTACATAAGGCAGGATCTCCCCTCTAAGGGGCCTCAATTCCCAGCATGCTATCCAGTCTAGTGTACCATAATGGTTATTGCTCTCAGTGAAGTGAGGCACCCTTATTCAGAGTTGTTCTGCTCAATTGTAGAGCTTCCCTCCTGCTTCTGATTTTACGTTTCTGGTTCTTCCTGAGAAGACTGCTTTGTTTTCATGTTGTATTTGATAGAAGCTTCATGCATTCTACAGTTTAAGTGATTTTAACTATCATAGCATCTGAATAAGAATTTGGGTATTGTAGCTAGATTTATTGCTTGAATTAACATCCTGTTGTTCTTTCAGCTAGCTTCCTAAACCCATTCATGAATGCTCTGTTAGTTGGTGAACTCTCTTTTGTGTACTTGATTAAATTAAAATTTAAAATAATGTAGTATCTTGTGGCAAGTTTATCCTCTCTAAATACTTAGATCTCTATTTCAGTTTTTGTCCATCTATTTTTTGGCTTCTGGATCAAAGAATGAACAAATGTCGTTAATCTCTCTATTTCAGGATTTGACTTGAAGCTCCAATAAAATCTTATTTTAGAAAATTGACTAGAAATTTTAGTTGACTTAGGTATATTTGTCTATGTATTTGGCTGGTTGAGACATAATGTCAAAACATACCTTGGTGCTATGAGAACAAGCTGTAAAGGAGACTCAGATGCTTCTTTCTCCCCTTGCAATACAGCAGCAGGTCATTCCTGCCTGATTATAACACTCATTAGCTAGATCTGGGGGTTAAAATTCTGTGGCCCCACTTTGATTTATTTAATTTCAATTTTGCAAGTTGAATATATTTATGATCTATTAAAAAGTTAATTAAAGCAATGAAGTAAGTACATGCTGTTCTCTAGCCATTCCTGACAACCGATGTTAAAATCACCCTGTCAGGTTCAGATGTTGCCACTTCAGATCAAGCCACTTTAAACAACTCTGCAAATAAACCATAGGTTTTCAGGTTAGCTTGTTCATGAAAAACTACCTACAACAGACAAACATTCTGGATTTTGATGTCATCTTAAGCCATCCTGCAACTATTCAAGTTAACTAACCGGTATTGCGTAGCACAATGTGTGAAGCAGGTCTTTCATTTTTTGCTGCTATGTACTAACACAGATACTCTCTGGAATTGCTTTCTTAAAGAATATAAGCAAACTAAGTTGTTGAACAAAAGGGCAAGAAAGGAGTATTGGCTTGTAGTACTCAGGGGAATTTGATTCATGCATTTTATTTATTGAACAGCACTGTTTTGTATTTATAGGCCAGAGCCTCAACAAAAAGTTCCTTCTGTACCGCCACCGCCACCACCACCACCACCTCCACCTTTGCCAGAACCAGCACCACCAGAGCCAGAAGAGGAGATTCTGGGATCTGATGATGAAGAGCAAGAAGATCCTGCAGATTACTGTAAAGGTTAGTGTGCATGAATAATAAAACATGATAATTTCTGAATTGTCCACTTATACTTTTAGACTAAATAAGCTTGAATTCTATAAAAACTCTGCTTGAAATCATAGTATTGTATTTAAGTTTTCTGAAGTCAAAGAAAAGCCATAAAGGTAGTGTTATTCTTTACTCCTCTTGATGGAGTAACTTAAAAAGACAAACCAAAGACCTTAAGTACCCTGAGAGAGGCATTTACAGAATTTCACTTGTAAATTATATTATCCAATAGAGTAGTGGTTGCCAAATGGAGGCTAGGGAGCCATATGCAACTCTTTGAGTTTATTTTGCAGCTTGCAGAGGGCTTGGAGACCCCCTGCCCCCCCACCAGTCCAGATGTCAGTGATGGCATAGGTATGATTATATGGAGCTTTCCTGAGGCCACCGGTCCATCCCACTCTCTTTTTGAAGCTCAGGAAGAAAGCGGGTCAGGCTGGTGGCCTCATGAGATCTCACCTGTTCCTCTTGATAAATGCAAGGGTGCTTTGGCAATTCTACCTCCACTGCTGCTCCAGGCAGCAAATCCAGTGATACTACTTGAGGTGGCACCAGTGGTTATTCTGGCAGAGGCAGCATTTCCTTGGTGTCTTTGGCAGCAGCTGCCTCAGCTGTGGCCCTGCCCCCAGTGAAGAAGCTGAAGATGGAGCAGATCCAGGCCAACCAGGAGCTCTTCTGTCAGGCCTTTGAGAGTGAGTATGAAGTAACTGGGTGGGAGGGAAGAGGGGCCAAAAGTAACAGCCTCCCAAATGCCATCTGCTCTATCTCTGGCTTCTTCAGAGGTACAACCGCCACAGCACCTTTGTGCTTGTCAGCAGGAGTGGGTGGGACATGCTGGGGTGAACTCTCACATGGCTGCCAAGTCAACCTGGTCTCTTTCCACTCTGAGCAGGAAGAGATTAGGTTGGCTAGCAGCCTTTCAAGAGCACTTGACTTTAAAAAGCCAACTTTGAAAGAGGTATTTTGATACCCTTCCTGAATGTGGAGAAAGTGCAGACTGGTCACAGCTCTGAAGGAATTTGTGTTGTTTATGTGACAGCCCCTGAAGATGGCTATCCTTTCGCTGTTTGTCCCTTCTGAAACTCCTTCAAAGATCCCTGATAGGACATGGTCTTCAAGTTAGAATTCTAGCAAAGAATACACAGTGCTTCTCACTAAACTACTCATATAATTGCCAGGAGTCTGTCTGTGACAACAGTAAAAAAATCCTGTTTTTTTACATTAATATGACATTTGTTTTGAGTAGTTCTTGTTTCTAAAGGTCCATTTCTTTGACATTTGTTTTGAGTAGTTCTTGTTTCTAAAGGTCCATTTCTTTGGGAAGGACATCCCAAAGTTAGCAGTCCAGGCGTAAATGTGTCTTCTCATGCACATTTAAAAATAATATACTGATAAGCAAGAACACACTTCCATAAAGCCACAATGCATAATAAACAAACATTTGTTCTTGTCTTGTGACTCTCAAACATCTGACATTTACCATATGTGGCTCTTCTTCGTCGTGGCCTCTGTGCATCACACATATGGGTTCTACGCCTGCGCAGTGCCTTTGGCCGGAAGATTAACAGCTAACGGTTTTTGGCGGGAACTCCGCTCCCCCTCCCCCCTAGCATTATATAAGGAGCGGAGTGTCCACCATTTTCCAGTCTTTTTGACCGCCATTCATTGTGCCTCGTGCCGCTTCGCTCTCGATAAGATTATTACTTACCTTCTTGCTCGTTCGAAAATCTCTCCTTTTTCCTACCAAGTTTGTATCCCTTGTTCTTGTTGTTAGTACTTCACTTATATTTCTTCTTAACTTTGTACCATTTTTTCCTCTTTATCGTTCCTATAAAAAAAAACAAAAACCAAAAACATTACTTTCCCGCTTTACTATCTCCTTTTTTCTTCTTTCTACAATGGCGCAACGGGCGGCGTTCCGCAAGTGCGGAAAATACAGCTCCAAAATGCCCGCCGTGGACCCGCATGATCTGTGCCTCCTTTGTTTGAGGGAAGGGCACAGAGTGCGGCCATTGTTTGGCCTTCTCTAAACAGGCGAGGAAGAACAGGGAGAACCGCCTCCGCAAACTCTTATGGGACCAGGCTCTCCTCCAGTCGGACTGGCTGGTGGCTGAGCCTTCCACTGTTGTGGCCCCACCCAAAGGCCGTCCAACTTCGGCTGACCTGCCGCAACGCCCGGCCTCTTCCTCCATTGCTCCGCTCTCACGCCCTTCTGAAGAAGGCGCTCATACCATGGCCGACCAGTCTGTTTCCCTGCCGAGGAAACAAAAGGAAAAAAGAAAGCACAGCAACTCAGATAAACATCCTGTGCATAAGAAGGCCAAGAAAGATAAGATGGGCAAGCCGGTTAAGAAGCCGAAGAACCCCGAGCAGGCAAAACACCGCCACTCGGGCTCGGCCTCTTCCTCGATTCCGATCCCTGCTTCGGAACCGACCCCCTCGGTCCCGACCATCCAGGTGACTATGAGGGTTACCCCACCGGGCTCACCGCACTGACAGCCGAACCCATTCTGGATTCAAGGTGTGGTTCCATCTCTGATGGGGAAATACGAGATTCTCCACCTAGAGCTTGGATGCGAGGTCTGATGATTGGTACCACTCCAGGTACTCCTCCGCTCCGAGATGGGAAGAGTACCACTCTGTAGCCTATTATCCGACCTCCAGGGGACAATCTTCACCACCAGCGCTTCAGGAACGTTTCCATTCAACGCCCAGAGACGCCCCAAGGGCCCCATCTAAAGAAAGTGGCAGATCAGAGTCACCAGGAGATTCTTCCTCCAGTGTACCACCCCCCTACTGGATGGAATCCGACGAGTCTGAGGCTGACTCGACCTCGCCGGATGCAGCGGTTGCTTCTCAGGGCCCGGGGTCGCCCGAGGAACCATATATATCATTTAATGATCTGATGGCCAGACTAGTGAGATTGCTCAATATAGAAGCCCACCAACAGCCGGGACCGAGCACCGATCGTTTTTATGATGTGGTCAGGGGCGAACGATCCACATCTATTGCTTTGCCGTTTATTACGACCTTACGGCAGGCAATGACCCAGCCATGGGACCTCCCAGCTCACCCACAACCGACTTCTCGTAAATACAAGTCCATGTATCGGGTGCGGGAAGAGGACATCCCGTTTCTTCTCCATCAGCCCAAGCTGAATTCGGTTGTTGTAGAATCCTCGCAGGGTCGGGAAGCCCGTGGACACACCTCGCCTCGTGACAAAGAGGGCAGAAAGGTTGATTCCCTCGCCCGCCGGGTATACGCAGCTTCAGGCCTTGGTTTACGAATTTCTAATTCTGAGGCAACCCTGGCGTGTTACCAATATTTCTTTATGCAACGCCTGGATGCCATCATCGATACCCTCCCAGGAAACCAGGGCAAACTTGCTAAGACTTTTGTTAAGGAAGCTATGCAAGTGGTGGTGCAACAGCTTTCCACTGCGAGGCACCATGTGGACTCTGATTCAAGGTCGCTGGTCGGTGCCATTTCCCTCTGCAGACACGCCTGGTTGCGCAATTGCAATTTTCTGGACGAGATGAAGCGGAGAATTGAGGAGATGCCATTCAATGGTTCCGGTCTCTTCCATGCGAGGACGGATAGCAAATTGAAGAAAATCCATGAATCAAGGATGACGGCCCATCGTATGGAATTGCAGTCTCTACCCCGACGTAAGTGGTCATGGTCACGTCCACAGTACCGTCAACAATTTCCGCCTCGGCAACAGCAACCGCATCAACGTCAGCAGCGTCGCAGGCAACAACCACCCCAGCGCTTCCAACAGGGCCGCCGCCGCTTTGATATGGACAAGCCACAGCGCTGATGCGACAAGCGAACCTCTCCTCTCATTCCAACTCTACCCTCCCCCCTCTCATTTGGGGACCGACTGAAGAGTCGGCTCTCCATTTGGGAGTCCATCACATCTGATGGGTGGGTGTTATCTGTCATTCAGCACAGATATGGAATCGAATTCGACGTTGTGCCATCACCAAATCCTATCCGCTATACTCCGACTTCCTTGGTACTGTTAGACGAGATTCACCAACTCCTTGCTAAAGGAGTTATTCGTCACCTGTTGTTATCAGAGGGATTCCACAGATTCTATTCCAGATACTTTACGGTCCCGAAATGAGATGGGGGTCTCAGACCAATATTGGACTTGAGAACTCTCAATAGATTCATAACACCAAAGAAGTTTTGGATGACCACATTTCAAAGTATTCTCCCGTTGCTGGGAAGAGGGGATTGGTTCGCCTCATTGGATCTGAAGGATGCCTATTTTCATATTTCAATACATCCAAGTTATAGGAGTTTCCTTCGTTTTGCGGTGGACTCTGAAATCTACGAATTCAATGTGCTACCGTTTGGATTAGCCACTGCACCAAGGGTTTTTACAAAGTGTATGGCTCCTGTCTGTGCACACCTTCGATTACATGGAATTCGGATATACCCGTACCTTGATGATTGGTTGCTGGTCTCCGACACAGAAGCAGGGCTTTTGTCTGCTGTTGAGTTTACATGTGCTCTATTGCACGATCTCGGACTCTGTATTAATCGACAGAAATCTTCCCTTCTCCCTACGCAGGTGATCAACTTTATCGGAACCCGGCTGGATTTGACGTTGGCAAGAGCCTTCCTTCCTTGGGACAGGTGGCATGCGATTGCTCAGTGCATCGCTCGGATTCGACAAGCAAGAACTGTTCCCGCCTGGTCTATTCAGAGCCTGTTGGGACACATGTCTGCTTCCATCGCTGTGGTTCTGCATGCCAAACTCAGGCTACATCCCCTTCAACTGTTCTTCAACGGAATGGTTCGATCACAGAAAGATCCTCCTACCAAACGGATTCGACTTCCGGCTTACATTCTTTAGTCCCTGTTATGGTGGATAGACCCAGCCAATCTGACTGTAGGCGTTCCGTTTCGACCCCGGTACCCTACAGTAACCCTCGGCACCGATGCGTCCCTGCTGGGATGGG